TTCCCTTTCTCACTCTAAATAAATAAATAATTAATTAATTAAAAAAATATATATAATATTTTAACCACCACATGGATTTCCTTAGTGTGAGATAGCTCACTGATACATGATACCAGAAAGTAGTAAGCATATTCTGACAGTTGCAGAATGCCATTGTTCTGAAACCACTAACCAAATACAGTCTAACAAACAAATATATTAGTGGGAGGCACCAATAACAGCAAAAAATATATTTTCATTAAGTAATTATTGCTTAAACATCTACTACACAATGGCTACTGGGCTTAGTTTCAGATTAATATTTCTAAATCACTGTATAAAAAGCTAAAACTATAATGGGCTCTACAGACTTTGCTATGGTTCTTTTATATTATCTCTTTCAATATTGATTAATCTGTACATTTCCATGCCTCTCTCCTTTACCTTCTCTTCTTTGTTCCTACTACCCAAACTTCACTTACACCTAATATCTATAGCTGTGAGCTCAAAGACACTTTTGGAAGTGTGGGTTTTAGGGGCACCTGGGTGGCACAGTTGATTGAGCAACCAACTCCTGATTTCAGCTCAGGTCCTGATCTCGGGGTTGTGAAATGGAGGCCCACATTAGGCTCTGCACTTAGTGTAGAGTCTGCTTCAGATTCTCTCTTGCTCTGCCCCACCTGCTCATGCTCTCTCTCTCTCTCTCAAATAAATAAACAAATCTTTAAAAAAAAAATGTAGGTGGTAGCCATCATCCTACCTACTGGAAGAGGTAATTCCTAGAACCTAATAACTTACATAAACATACCCATTGTACTGATATTTTATTAGTAGTTAGTACTGGCAGCAGCAGTAGTAGTAGTGATTAGGCAGATACATTTCAGTCCCATAACAGTGTGATAAGACTGTAAGCAACTGGCTCAATATTAATTCTTTTATGAGTGATTTTTTTTAAAAAGATGACTCATGAGTAATGGACTAGTACAAAAAATACATTTGATAAACTATAAATTTGTCCCCCAGATCAAGACAAAGCACACAAGTCAATAGACATTGGATGACATTATCCCATGAGACCATACATTCTAATAGTTATCTTTAAGGTTGGTTTAAAATTTAAGGTGTGGGGCGCCTGGGTGGCTCAGTGGGTTAAAGCCTCTGCCTTTGGCTCAGGTCATGATCTCAGGGTCCTGGGATCGAGCCCCACATCAGGCTCTCTGCTCAGCTGGGAGCCTGCTTCCCTCTGTCTCTCTGCCTGGCTCTCTGCCTACTTGTGATCTCTCTCTCTCTCTCTCTCTCTGTCAAATAAATAAAATCTTAAAAAAAAATTAAGGTGTAAGATTTATTATAGAGAGTAAACTGATGGTTACCATAGGGGAGGTGGAGGAGTGGGTGGGTGGATTAGGGGATTAGGGTGAAGGAGGGCACTTGTGATGAGCACCAGATACTGTATGGAAGTGTTGAATTACTATATTGTCCACCTGAAAGTACAATTACATTGTATGTTGACTAACTGGAATTTTAAATAAATAAATAAAAATTTAAGGTTTATATTATTGCCTTTAACACCCATGTATGACTTAAAATAGAACAATAGCTACACATTGCACCAGAGCTCCCCAAGAGGACTTGTTTTTGACCCATCCTCATTGAGAATACATAATATGTGATGTTCTCCCCTACTCCTTAGAATGTCAAGGGAAACTAAGACTGAACTGGAAAGATTATTGTTGGGAGGAAAGGAAAGATCAGTTTCTGCTACTCTCCAAATTTTCTCTAGAAACAATCTACTAGGACTGTTTTCTCTACAAAGTTTCTGTTTTCAGAGTGTCCTTAAGCTATAAAAATAGAGTGAGAACAAATGAGTTGTAACATTTCTTTTGGAAAGCACATTTTCATGATTATATTATATAAATTCCTTTGTAACTCTAAGACAAGTATTCCAGGTGACTGGAATATGTAGTAACAGTAATGATTAAGAATGTGGGCTCTAACCATAGACCATGTTCCGTTTCAGTTTCACCATTTACCAGCTAGTGGTTGACTTTGTTACTTTAAGTAAGTAACTTACTTAAATCTTTCTGTGTCCGTTTCCTTGTGCATGAAAATGGGGCTAAATATTATTCCTACCTCACAGGGCTTTCATGAGATTTAAATACAAGGAACAGCACCTTGCACATAAGGAGCATGTAACAGATGTTTTGAAGGTGCATCAGGAGCAGGAAGGACAGAGCCTGAGCTCCTGGGACTCATGGTTTCTAAATATATGAAGCACCAATAATTATTAGAGCTTGCATAAAAGCTTTTTAATAGTGGAAGGAAGTAGAAACTGTAGCAGAAGTTCCAGCTGCTGATATCTCTCCAGTCTTTTGTTTTCTTAGTAATTTAATGTTCATTGTCCTCACCTGTAGAAAGATTTTATGATTCTGACCACTTTGAAAACTTCCCAAAGTGCCAATCAGTCTGCCACTGGTGTATAAAATTACTCCCATACTGTATTCTTTAAACATAAAGCTTTGCGGCCATCAGTGAATTAAAATAGTCAATTATTATTATTATTATTATTATTATTATTATTATTATTAGGTTTTACTGGAAACTCCTATAAGGGAATAGTTTTTCTTTCCTTTCCTTCTTTTATTTTCTTCCCTTCCCTTTCCTTCTCTTCTTTTCTTTTTCTTTTCCTTTCTTTTCTCTTTTTCATTCCTTTCTTTTCTTTTCTTCTTTTTTCTTTTCTCTTTTCTTTTCCTTTTTCTTCTCCTTTCCTTTCCCCTCCCTTCCTTACTCTTCCCTTCCCTTTACTTCCCTTTCTTGACAATCTGTCTTCTTATCATCATACCCTCTTCTGGCACTCTCAACATACAGGCATTAGCCTGGAAAAGCTCCCTTGTTAGGCACAAATCAACCTCAAATCCCGAAAGCCTAGCCATGCTCTTTTCACCAAGAACTGACAACTTTAAGGGTCCTTACCTATGGCTTTGAAGGGTATAATTATTAGCTATTCTCTTCTAACATTGTAAAAAGGAAGTAACAACACTTTTTCATCTAAGAATCCAAAATTCTTACTTAAGTATAAATATTTTGGACCAATGCCATTTGGTTCATACACTTTAGATCAATTCTTTAACCTTTAAAAAAAATTCCTGTGTATCTTCTCTTTCTCTTAATCATTAGTTGCAATCTCATTCTTGTCCTTCTTGCCACACTTTGTCTCTCTATTTTCCCCTTTAAAAGAGTTGAAATTAGTAGAAATCTAGAATCTGGATATCTCTCAAGTCAAGCTCTAAAATATCAATTTTAAGCAATAAATCAATAAATTCTCTCCTGTGCATCCAGTTTGATTCTACTTCTATCACTTCCTGGCTAGAACTGGGGTGATAATCATCCAATCCTTATCTTTGTTCTGTGTGATTCAGATGCCACTAGTTACAACCTTACACTTTAGCAGAGAGAGAAAAGAAGACCAACCAATTTATAAGAATTTGGCTGATATTCCAGCTTGATAGGAGTGCCTTATTTTAGACAGAGAATGGATACAGCTGCACTGAAGAAAAATGGGCCATTTTGTCCTAGGTCATCTTCTTATCCATGCCACCAGTATGCTAATGCCAGGCCTGTTAACTTTCTATAGTATTTCTTGTATCTGTTACTTTGCTGTACTTACATACAATAGGTTTTTGTAAGTCTGCAGCAGTTTAAAGTGTCTTTTTTTTTTTTTTTTTTTTTTTGGTGATTTTAGAAAGAGGATACTGAGAAAATAGATTTTCCATGATGGGGGTGTAATACATAAGCCGATAAGAATTGAAGCAGATAATGAACAAAACTAGATAACTTCTTTTAAAATCCAGATGATAGAATATCCTTGTAATTTGTTTTTCCTCAATGACAGAGGGAGTTAGAACATACATCATTAAGTTGTAAGGACATATCTTTTTGGATTTTCATGCCCAAAGTATTTATATTTATATGTCAATTACTTATAAATCCCCTTTTTGCATATGGTGTCTATTCAATTCTTACCTTAAACCCATGAATGTGGCTGGTCCTACCAATCCAGCCTTCAGAGAGAGCATCTTGAGGCTTAGTCAGTGAATATGTTTCTCGAATGTACAGCCAGTAAACAGAAAAGCCAGATGCCAAGATGAGTTTTCTGTATTTAATCCAGTGCTCTTTCGACTTTTAACACACTGCTTTCCCCTATGAATGAGGTAGTCAGTCCTATGAATAAGTCATTATGTGTAAAGAATTATACTGATTATTCTTATAACATCACTATGGTAATTTTTAATGTAACCATCCCAAAACTACATTTTAAAATATTTTCCTTTTGTAGAAAAATTGCATTGCAGGAACTGCCTGGTTCAGGCAGTATACAGAGGATAAAAAATAAATAAATAAAATCTTTAAAAAAAAAAAAGGCTTTTACTCAGTTAGGAGGATGAAGAAGATGGAAGTTGAGAGATGGACTCTGGTATCACATTACCTTGGAGTCCACTAAGGTCTTCCAGGTCTTTAAGCTCTACCAATCACTACATGTCTGATTTGAGGCAATCACATAATCCCTCTTTGCCATAATTTCCTCAACTAGAAAAGAAGAAGTTCCTATGTCATAAAATTTGTCATGAAGATTAAGCTAGCAAATCTATATAAAGTGTTTAAAACACTGCCTGACACATAATAGATGCTCAAGAAAGCATGTGACTGACAATATAGCTGACACTGATTGTGTATTTTCAATTAAAAAATTTAAAGACTTTCACCCTATTATTTGCTTGTCTAACTGAAACTGAGTTCACATTTGGCTCATTGAGGTCATAACAGAGCTAAGTCCTCTCTTCTGTTTGTTGCTATTACACAATACATTAATCTGTGCTCAATCTTGAAAGGCAGCATTAATCAGAATAGTAATTACCCTGAAAAGGCTATAAAAACAAGAGTTCATCTTTATTTTATCAAGGAATAGCACAACTCTCAGACATTTTGAGGTCTGCCTCAACTTCACTGAAGTAACAATATCAGCAATGAAGATACTTTGTATTTTCCTGACTTTCTTCTTCACTGTGTCTTGTGGTCTATCAGGTAATATTTGCTAATATGAAAAAGAAGGGAGGAACAAAATATTTTTTATAAATGTTTTACTCTTGAAAAAAATCAAATAATTAAATTGTTGTTAGGAGATGCCACGTGAACCTATAATGCAAGTCACTCTGTTTTGCATGAAAGAAGAAATGAGTGGAACTGATAGTTGAGAAGATAAGGGGAAAAAAATTCCCTGGGTATAGAATTAAACCTGTTTGTTATTTTGTTTGATGAGACTATGACTTCTTACATACTTCCTACTGCCTTCTCATTTTAAATGTGATTTAATGAACTGGTACTCAAGCTGTTGTCAAAATTAAGCTTTCTGCAACTAATCCAGTAGTTTGTGGGGTGAGAGAGTATTGGAGATGGATGATTATTTAGAACACAAAACAGGTAGAGTATTTTTTACACATTTTTTTCTCTTTACTCTTGAGGAAGCATGCACAGATTAGATATTTAATGATATTCTATTTTAAAAAAAGTTAGTGGTCAAGGAACTATTATTCAATAAATAAGTATTTATATTGTCGCTATTTGTAGGGGATAAAATGTGAACTTTTTATATAATTGCCTGGACATAATTTTAGAAACGAAATGGTTTAACTCTTTACTTTAAACAACTTTATATGCTTATCTGCCTAACTATTATCTATCCACCTATCTATGCAAGGGGATTAAATCTGGATTTATGATCATAGATACTTTTTCCCAGTTTCACAGAAAAAAACAAAAGAAGATACAGAGAAAAAAATAGAATGTTACCTTGTTCGTGGTGCTTGCAAGACTTCATGCAACACTTGGGAGTATATATACAATTACTGCAGTACAGAGCCCTGCTGTGTTGTGCGGGAATACCAAAAGCCAGTTCTTGAACCTGTCAATACCACAGGGGATACACTGTAAAGTATAAGTCTACCATACTACATAACACTAAATTGTAACATTACTATTAATAAAAATTAACTTTCTACTTTTCATCAATGTATTTTCGTGTGGGTGTCCTCTGGTCTTCTGGATTACACACTTATATCATGGAGATTAGTGAGTTCAATGTTGGGTTAGGTACAAGAGATGTAAAGAAGAGTGGGAGCTTATTTGTGAAATGGGCAGGAGTTCTCCCCTACCCACATTACAAACACCTTTCATCTTTAATGCTTCCATTTATCTCTGGCCTGTTTATGTGCCCTGGGCAGTAGCCTTGTTATTTTCATGTGATATTTTAGGCATCATTAATCAATCATGGTTTATGCTACCTTTCCATAATTTCAGCAAAATGTGCTTGAGTCTTAGACACAAAGTCATAAACACCTTAATCACCTAATAGACACTATTGGTGATGTATTTATGAGTAAGAACAATCAAGCAAAACTCAGCAGGGAGTAAAATGTGATGAGAATAAAGCAAGTTAAAAACATTTTTAAGGTTTTTTTTTTATCATAAAGTATAAAAAATTTGGAGAATCCAAAAATGTCCAAAAACAAAAAAAGACCATTTCTAATTCTAAAGCTAAACTTTTATCATAATTAATTGTCAACATAGGCAGTCAATCTAAGGGTCTTCTCTCCAGGTCCTTAAGAATTTTATTTAACTTCTTCATCTTATAATTCAGTATTTAATACTTCTGTCCTTATCTCCATCTTCAATGAACTCACTGTGCTTCCAGTTTTTCACATTCCACATTAATTCTACCATAATATTGCATTCATATTGACATAATTTTCTTGTGAATTATAATGTTTTCTATCCACAAATACTTGATGTGTAGAATTTAAAGTTTCCACTCAGTGCATTTATTTTTTATTTTATTTTATTTTTTTTACCTATAGCTACAGCACTGATTTGGAAAATATAAAAATTTAACTGTGAATTCTGATTTAGAGAAGATGTAAGAATTTCAGTGAATTTGAGGTTTAAGAAGAGATGATAATTCCAAGTTTTCTTACTTGGATAAATGCTAAACACTGCAATCATTCATTAGGAAATATAGCAAGAGACATAGAATTTTGGAAAGGACCATATATGGCATATCAAGTTTATACTTTTTAACTATGTACAGGTGTGAAGCTTAGAAAAGAAAGTTGTGCTTCAAATATAGATTTCAGGACCCATTAACCGAAGCAATGAGATAAAATCACCCAAATGACTACTACAGATTGATGAGAAGAAAAAAATGTCCAAAATTCTAAGGAGTAACATTTAAGTATGTTAAGAAAAATTAGACTCTATAAAGGAAGATAAGAAGGAGGAGTTAGCCAATGAGACCCCACTCCCAGTCTTCATGTCTTCCCAGATAAGTTTCCAGACATATAAGAAAAGAGGCAACCCATTCCTACTATACTCTGTGTTAATTTTTGACCCATAGGCTCAATGAGCATAATAATATGGTTTTGTTTTAAATCATCAAATTTCAGGGTAGTCCGTGACACAGCGAAATTAGCCAGAAGTGTATATAATTTCCAAACTATAGAAATTTTTAAAAAAAGAAAAAAAGAAACAATACATAGGAATCATAGGCAGGACTTCTAAAATGATGGAATAAAGAGATCTAAAATTCTGTCACTTCATGAAAGCAGCAAAACAGTGGCAAGAAAAAAAAATAAATGTTTTAAGAGCTCTCCAAATTAACCACAAACTTGCAAAAATCCAAGGTGCATTTATTTATTTGTTTAAAAACAAAACAAAGATGCTGAATCTCGGGAACAGCCAACTCTGTGGCAGTTCAGCTGCCCCATTATTGTCCAACTCTTGGTTCCACAAGTAGCTGTGACAAACAGCAGCCTCTCCATCAAGGTAGCTGTGAATGTACAAAGAATATCTGTAACTCAATAATAAAAACACACTAACTCTATTATAAAATGGACAAGGGAGTTGAATAGACATTTCTCCAATGAGGATATATGGATGTTCAACAAGCACAGGGAAAGGTATTTAATCTCAAAAGCCATCAAGGAAATACAAATCAGCACTACAGTAAGTGACCACTTCCCACCCCCTAACTGTAATTAACACAAAGACACATTAACAAAAGTTGGTAATGATATGAAGAAATCGGAACTCCCATATACTGCTAGTGAGAATGTAAACTAGTGCAAATACTTGGGAAAATAGAGTGCCGGTTCCTGAAAAAAATTAAGCCTGGGATTTTCATTTGATTCTGCAATCCCCCTCGTAGGCATGTATGCAAGAGATTTGAAAAATGTCAACACAAAACTTGCGCACAAATGGCCATAGCAGCATGATTCATAATAGCCAAAATGACCCAAAGGGAAACAACCCAAAGGTTTATAAACTGATGGATGGATAAGCATTATGTGGCATACCCATACAATGGAATATTATTTTGTCAGTAAAACAGGATAAAGTACAAACTTGTGCTACAACATGGATAAAGGTCAGCAGACCTTTCTTGAGAAATAAACAAGAGTTCTACAGTAGAATTAAGAGTATAAAAGATAGAAATTTGGACCTTCACAAAGGAAAACAATTGAGCTACAATTTGTAAATTTGTTGGTAAATGTAAAATATTCTTTTCCTCTAATCTCTGTTAAAGACAATTTATTGCTTAAAACAAAAGTAATGATATATTGTGCAGTTAACTGCATTGCAGAAAGACATGAACGACAATAGCCCAAACTATGAGAAAGGGAAAATATTAGTATAGGATTGTAAGTGTTACATTATAAGAAAGCTGAAGAGCTATATTATAAACTATTATATTATAAAAAGAGCTATATTATAAATAGTGAAGGAAAAGAGAACAAAGGCAGGGAGAACAAATAGAAAATAAAGAGGTGACAGTTTTAAACACAACCATACTATAATTTCATTAAGTGTAAATATTAAATGTAGACATACCAATTAAAAGAGAATGTAAGATAGGATATTATATTATTTTTTTCTGCCTAACAAATTATTCCAAGAGGTCACAGTTTAAAAACCTTTATTATCTCATAGATGCTGTGGGAAGGACTCCAGAAGCAGCTTAGCTTGACACTTCTGTCTCAAGGTCTCGATGAGATTGCACTAAAGCAGGTGACTGGAGCTATAGACATCCTATTCTCAACAGGGGTCTAAGAACCTGCTTCTAAGCTTGCTCATTTAATTGTTGCTATCCTTTGTTCTTGAGAGCTCTTGGACATAGAGCTTCAATTTCTTATAAGCTATTAAATAGAGGGTCATGGATTCTAACCATACCATCTAACCACATGGATTCTATGGCCACTCCATAGGGATTCTCACAGCATGGCACCTTGCTTCCCCCATTACAAGTGATGAGATAGAGAAAGAGAGAGAGAGGGAAGGAACAAGAGACAGACAGAGAGAATAACAGACACAAAAACAAAGAGACACAGACAAAAAAAGAGCCCAAGACTATAACTACAGTACTTTTAAGTGGTTATAATAAAACATAAAAGGGGCACTTGGGTGGCTAGGTCAGTCGAACACCTGAGTCTTGGTTTCAGCTCATGGTCTCAAGGTCAGGAGATCTAGCCCCTCACTGGGCCCCTGACACAGTACAAGTCTGCTTGAGATTCTTTCCCCCTCCCTCTCCCCGCTCCACTGCTCTTCCCCCCACCCCCTTGCATGCATACACAAAAGTACACACTCTCTCTTTTCTCAAATAAATAAATAAAATCTTTAAAAAATATAAAAACTGTTTCAAACCAATGATTTAAGCTTCCACTTTAAGAACTTTAAAAAAAGAAATTAGAAAAAGAAGGGTAAATTAAACCTCATTTTATAAATTATATATCTCAATGAAACCCGTATTTTTACTCAGAAGAATGGAAATAATAAAATAAGATAGACAATTAATTAAATATAAAATAGAAGGCTGCCTGGGTGGCTCAGTGAGTTAAGCCTCTGCCTTCAGCTCGGGTCATGATCTCAGGGTCCTGGGATCGAGTTCCACATCGAGCTCTCTGCTAGGCAGGGAGCCTGCTTCCTCCTCTCTCTCTCTCTCTCTCTCTCCACTTGTGATCTCTCTCTGTCAAATAAATAAAATATTTAAAATATATATATATAAAATAGAAAAATAATAGAAAAAAGTAAAAACAAAAGCTTTTTTTTAAGAAAAGGTAGAAAACTGATTTTCAGAAATATCTAGTCAGATTGATTTAAAAAAGAGAGAAAAAGGAAGCACAAATGACCAATATCAGGAATGAATAAGAGAAATCACAACAGATATAAAAAACATTAAAAGAGCAGTAGGAGAATATAATAAACAATGTTATACCTATACTTTGATAACTGTTATGAAAAGGAAAAATTCCTCAAATGATGTAAAATGCCATGATTCACTCAAGAAAAAAATTTGCATCTTGTATAATATTATATTCATTTTCAATAATGTCTATTTACAAATCTTCCCACATAGAAAATACCAGGTATAGATGGCTTCACTGTTGAATTTTTCAAAATATTTAATAATGAATGTATACTTATTATACACAGATCTCTTTGTACAATAGAATAGGAAAGAACATTTTCCAAATGATCTTAGGAGACCAGCATTATCCATACTAAAACTCAAAAAAAGAAATTTCAAGGAGAGGCATCTGGGTGGCTCAGTCAGTAAATGACCTTGTGGCTGAGGTCATGATCTCCAGGTCCTGGGATGGAGCCCACGTCAGGCTCCTAGCTCAGCAGGGAGTCTGCTTCTCTCTCACCTTCTCCCTCTCCCCGTGCTTCTGCTCTCTCTCTTTCAAATGAATAAATAAAATCTTAAAAAAAAAAAAAGAATTGAATGCACTTCGTCTAAGATCAGGAACAAGGTAAGCATAATGAAATTCACCACCTCCATTCCAAATTGTAAGAGAATTTTAGAAAGTACGATAGGAAAAATAAACAAAAGCATATTGATTGTAAATTAAAGACAAACATTTTTATTTGACAACATGATTGCCTATAATGTAAATCTAAGGAATCTAAAAATGAAGGTAAAAGAACTAATTATTGAATTTAGCAAGGTTATTGATACAAGAAAAATATAAAAACTAATTAAATTTCTATAAACTACTAATAAATACTTGGGTGATAAAAATTTAAAGATACTATATACGAAATGATTTAAAACAGAAAGAAATATATCCAGTACCTCTCTATACAGTGGCAAGTACATTGCTGAGAAGAATTAAAGAAGTAAACAATGAAGAGATATATTTTGTTCAAGTATTGGAAATTTGAAATTGCCAAATCTCATCAAATAGGTCCATAGAATCAGTGAAAAACCCAACCCAAATTCCCCTGTTGGGTTTTTAAATAGGTACTGACAATCTTACTCAAAAAATTTGTGTGGGAAAAAAAAAATTGTGTGGAAGTGCACCTGGGTGGCTCAGTCAGTTAAGCTTCTGACTTTAACTCAGGTCATGATCTCAGGGTCCTGGCACTGAGCCCTTCATTGGACTCCCTGCTCAGGAGGGAGTCTGCTTGTCCCTCTCCCTCTGCATCTCCCCCTGCTCCTGCTTTCTTTCTTTCTTTATCCCTCCTTCTCTATCTCTCTCTTTCTGTCAAATAAGTAAGTAAATTTAAAAAAAAAAATTGTTTGGAAATTTACAAGACCAAAAATAACCACGATAAATTGAAGAATTGAGAACTAAGTTGTACAGCTGATATTACTTGATTCCAGGTTTTACTATAAAGTTTCAATAACTAAGAGAATTTGATATGGACATAAAAGCAAGAGAAAGATTGATCAATGAACCAGAATGTAAAGTCTTGAAACAGATGCCAATATGTATAGTCAGTTGACTTTTTTACAAAATTGTTAAAGATATTAATTTGAATTATATTGTTATTTTTGGAGTTTCTACTCTAATAAAAACATTCTTACACATTAGGGAGTCACTGTCAAACAAGAGAAATACAATTCTTCCTTAACAGAGTTTTTTTGTTTTGTTTTGTTTAACTAAAACTAGAGCCCAATTGAACAAATCATATATAGAGATCTAAGATTTCTGGTATAGGAACTTCTGTCCCAGGGAAAAAAAAAAAAAAGTAATGTTTGCTTGGTTTTTTTGAAGACATTTAGAGCTCTAATTCCTTCTGCTCACTAAAGAAGCCCATTCAACCTATATCCACAGACCTTACCTTGAGGATTCCCCGAAACAGAGGTTTTTTTGGGGAAAAAAAAGATTTGTCTAATAGTGAAGGAAATCCTCAAGAGGTATCTAATTCTTCATCCTAGAGCCAGTGCTTGGACAACATGTAAAAGTAAAGGCATGAATAACTAAGATAACACCACCAAACAGAACACTAGGTCCTGAGAAAAGAGTTCAAGGAAAACAGAATTTAATATGAACAAAACTCTCTTAAATATATTTGCAGATGGATTCAAGAAGATCTTACATTTACAAAAAAAACCCAAAAAACAAAAAGATAAAAACAACAACAACAACAAAAACTGCTCCATGGCAAAAGAGCAATCATAGAAGAGATAAGGGCATTAACATCCTAAATATATTTGCTTAAAAAAAACATAGAAAAACTGAAAGGTGAAACATACTTAAATCATAAAATAACAACATAAATAGATATAAAAATAAGATAATAAAGACAAATCTATAGAGGAAAATTTCAACCCCTGACTAAAAGAAATCCCCCAAAAAGGTAAGATAAATATACACCTAAGGAGGGAAAGACTTTATCAGGGAAAGATATAGAAAAAGAGAAGAAAACACATATTCCCAGATTTGTAGAAGCTCACCCAAAGGCCAGACAAAACTCATTAAAAAGAAGTTTACACTAGGAAATGTAGGAATCATAAGATGTGGGGTACAAATTATGAAGAGAATATCCTGTAAGTGTCTAGGGAGACACAAAAATCAAACCATTTAAAAGGACCTAGTCTAGTATTGAAATTCTAATCAAGAAGACTGAATGATATAAGTTAGTAATGACTTCACATGATTTTGAACCTATATTTTACGTTCAAACAATCAGATATGAGGGCAGAATAAATATATTTCCCAGCATGGAAATTCCTGTATTTCCTATCTTTTTGGAGAACATTTCTGGATGGAGGGGGAAAAAAAAAAAAAAGAGGATATGTGAGATCCAAATAACAGTAGATTCGGAAATTCTTAGAATGAAGCAGGGACAGGTATAGCCTATGATACTAAGGTAAACTTAAGAATGAGGAATGACCACCATTTATATTTTTCATCCATATCCAGAAGAAAACTACAGGAAAAAATATTTTTCAAAAACATCATAACCAAATATTAAACAACTAAAAGACTTGAAAATATTTAATTAAAAAAAGGTTAAAAAGAAGAGAGATGAAAATAAAAGAAAATAATAATAATAATAATAGTAAAATAATAGTGATAATTTACTTGACTTTGAAACCATTTGTCTTTGGTTAGCACATCAAACATATTAAAAAGGCAATATGGTCCATATTGCTATTTCTATTACAGGATTTCAATATAAAGATTGTATGTCTCAATTCTGAGAGCAAATATTAACCTAGACAAGATAAAAGGAAATGTATGACAACAGGTGAGTGAAATGTACAAAGTGGGGAGGAATGTTGGAGGGAATGGCAAAGGGACTAATATCTTCATTTTAAATAGAGAAAGTTTAATGTCGTGACTAAGGTTGATGGGGGAAAATGAGATATTTAAATGTTTATAGATAACCTACAGAATTTTTGAAAATTAATATAACTTTCAAATATTTGAGGAGCAGAACAGCACAGGAGTGTAAATGATCTGAATCTACATTTTTCTTAGTGGAAATCAAAAGATACATTCTGTAATTGCTACACAAGGACAAAATATTAAGCTAGATCCCAATTCTTATGCCAATAATAAGGAGAAGAGCTAAACATAGGGAGGGTGAAAGAGGAAATTATTTCTATTATTACAAGGTTTTTTTTCAGTATTGTGTGCCTGTATTACTCTGATAAAAAAAAATTTAAAAATAGAGACTAATTGGGCTTTTCAAGGAAAAAGCAGACCTCCATAGCTATTCAAGTTGCATCTGAAAAGAAGGTAGTAAAAATTAATGACAAAAGTAAGGCTTACTATTTGTCCTTTGTAAATGAATAATTTGGGGAAATCAATGGGATATAAGTAAGAATTTGGAATATATGGATGTATTGCTGAATTTGCATACCAAATTAGTGACTAGAATATATTCTGAAAAGTAACCAGGAGTTTAAATGACATGGTAATGTTCAGTTGTTTTATAACTAAAATGGTAAATATTTCTCTTAAACCCACTCCATACATGCCCATTGTGTCAATGTTTAATTGATCACCGTCAATATAATGGTATCATGTGTGCAGTTATCTTCCACATAGAGTTTCCTCTATAAAGATCAATAATTTCAAGTATTTTCAGTTTGGGTAATTCTGCCCACAGCCTAGTCAATCGTGCAGAGACAAGTACACCAGATTAAAACAATTTCCGGATAAAGAGTCTTTCTTCCATTAGGAAACTATAAATAGTAAATGTCTCTTGGCTTTTCAGAAAGTGTGCTACTCTTTAGATTTTGTTGCCAAATCTTTCAGCAGCTTCTTTCTGCAGAATGAAGATCATTTACTATCTCCTCCACTTTCTGTGTTATGTGACCTTCATCTTACCAGGTAAAATAGATGCTTGTTTATGTTTAACATAGAGCTTCTAGCTAAAAATAGAAAAAACAGATTAGAAAATAGAAAATGCAATTTCTTAACACAAATCAATTAAAGAAGTCTCTTGATTGTGTTGAATCTCAGTTTCCTCATTTAGAATAGTGTTATAATGTACTCAACTCATTTTCTTTTTTTTTCTTTTTTTTAATTAATTAACTTTTTAAAAAATTTTCAGCATAACAGTATTCCTTGTTTTTGCACCACACCCAGTGCTCCATGCAATCCGTGCCCTCTCCAATACCCACCA